TAATTTCAACCTATTATCATTGATTACATTCTCCACCCCGTATTGTACATATTCCAGAAATGTTGGCTAAAAATAACATAATTGCTTATTTAAATCTAATAATAGGTCGATAGTTTAAAAATTTAATGTATGTTGGTTTTTTTTTTTCTTTCTTTTTTTTTTTTTTTTTTTTTTTTTTGGTTTAAAACATTTAATAGTCCTACCATTCTCCATCCAATTACACTTTTATGGGTCTACCACACACCAGGTTTCAATATTTTTTAAAACCCACAGAGGCTAAACTTTTCTGTTAAAAAAAAGTATACCAGTTATAGTCATGGAGAGGTTTTCTATACTCTACTTAGTATAAATAGATTAGCCTTGTCTATGTTCCTCCCACCCAATTTTTCAGGTAATAAAGTTTTATAAAAAGTTTGTCATTGAAGCTTATAAATAGTGTTAGACTTACAATGACAACTAGAACACTTTAGCATCCATATATAAGTTTGTAGATTAACAGGTGCTGTCATTATTATGAATACCCCTTTCTGTGCCTTCTTTTTATAATTATTTTAGAGAGCAGCATACCAAAGCTCTCAGTTGGCAATTGCTGGTAGCTACTATGTGTGATGAACCATTGAGATTTGTCCCTGGTTCAATTCCGTTGTTTCTCCTCTTGTGTTCCAGGTCAGCTAAATGGCTCAAATGCAACTTTAGTACTTATGCACATATGCATGCTATTCCAAGTGATGTTACACCAATGCTCCTACTGTATGTTGTCTGTCATGTAAATGTATTTGTGTTATAGGATGCTCTGTTCTCACCATTACATTTCACATGACAAATCTGTGTGTTGTTCCCATACATGGACATGGTGATGTTATGTGTTCCCCAAATATGGGAATATCACATATTTGTCACATCAATTTTTTCTTTCTTCTTTTATTGTTTTGTAGATCATAAAACTTGTTAACACGTCTCAGAACAGTTTAAAATGTCTTGATAATTGCCCATGTTTTCTTGCCCCAGCATGTGCTGGCTGGGGAAGACCTCTATAAACGTTTTTGTTTATATTTGAACATGTTCAACGTTTCAGTTAGTCAAAATGTCCCATAAGATCTT